AATAATTATAAAATTTGAAATAAAAATTTCTTATTATTGCCCAAGTCTAGATATGAAAGCAGAAAAAAGGGTACCTGATTCCTGTCAAAATGTTAGTAAGTGAATATAATTATTTATTTGTTGTTGATCTTATATAAATGGATAGAGACCATTTAATGATGGTAAACTTTGAAGTGAAAATCTCTTTTCTAGTGCTCAAGTCTTGATATGACAAAATAGAAAGTGTTTCTCAATCCTATCAAAATGTTATTAAGTGAATATCATTGATTCCCTTAATCTGATAATACTGAGTTGGTTCAGGAACACAGCGACTTCCACGTCTTGTTGGTCTCTCAAAAGCCCTTGAAATGATGCTGGTAAGTAGTTGGTCATTCTTCAATTAGATTAATTTTTTTTTTTTCTAAAAAACAATTTCTACTTTTGGTACTATATGTATGTCTTTGTTATAAAGGTTCAATTCTTCTCTATTTGTATGTTCTGTGGAATGACATAGACATCAAAGCCAATCAAAGCTGAGGAAGCTCATGCCTTGGGTCTGGTTGATGCCGTGGTTGCACCGGGTGAATTGGTAAATACTGCACGTCGTTGGGCGCTGGATATTTTGGAGCTTAGGAGACCATGGATTGCTAGTCTTTACAAGACCGACAAGTTGGAGCCCCTTGGGGAAGCAAGGGAAATACTGAAGTTTGCAAGGGATCAGACTCGTAAGCGAGCTCCCAATCTCAGACATCCCCTTGCTTGCATTGATGCAATTGAAGAGGGTATAGTTTCTGGTCCCAGGGCTGGCCTATGGAAGGTCTTTATCTATCCCCATTACCATTCCTATATTCCTAGGTTTCTTAGCAAAATTGAGCTATATGGTTAATATGCAACAGTATATGGCTCTTTTCTGATTCTGGCAGGAGGCTGAAGCTTTCCAAGAAGTTATAGCTTCTGACACCTGTAAAAGCTTGGTCCATATCTTCTTCGCTCAACGTGGAACTTCAAAGGTTTTGATAGAAAAGTACTGCTTATTATTATTTTTTTTTGTTATCATGTTGCAAGCCCATGTATTAACTTGATGGATGGTGTTAGATTATTAATAGAACCATGAATTTTTAACATGTCATGAACCTGAAATTTGCATAGATCAAAAGGATGCTGATTCTTTATAGCTGCATTATCTACATTGCACACTTGTGGTAGAAGTTTTGTGTCGGAGTAGCTGTCAGTGTATAATTCCCCATTTTCTGTTGTTGCAGTAAAACAATGATTCGGTTACTTTTTCAAAGTTGTTGTACTGCTGTTCTAAAAAAAAATTGACGGGCAAAAGTTGTGATCTGTTCGATGCCTATTACCTTGACCTTGAATATCTTTATTTCTTTATTAACATCGTTTCCTCTTAACCATGTACAGGTTCCTGGGATTACTGATCTTGGTTTGGTGCCAAGACGAGTAAGTAAGGTTGCAATACTTGGTGGAGGATTAATGGGCTCTGGGATAGCCACAGCATTGATCCTTAGTAATTACCAAGTGATCCTTAAGGAAGTAAATGAGAAGTTCTTGCAGGCTGGAATTGATAGAGTCAAAGGTGAAGCTGGAACCCTGTATATTACTGTGCTTCCTAACTTATGATGGTTTTTGCTTATACTGTTTTGTGATATCCTTTATTTCAGCCAATTTGCAAAGCCGTGTCAAGAAAGGAAAAATGAGTTTAGAAAAGTTTGAAAAAACTCTCTCTTCTCTCAAGGGTGTTCTTGACTATGAAAGTTTTAAAGATGTGGACATGGTTATAGAGGTATTTTTAAACCTTTTTTTTTTTTTAATCATTATCATTATATGTAGTTGAGGTATTTAATGAATTTAATCTTCATGACTTGTTCTTGATGCTTGGAACAGGCTGTTAATGAAAATATTTCTTTGAAGCAGGATATATTTATTAACTTCATAAATATAGTATGTTCTCCAGGAATTTAATGAATTTAATTTTAATGAGATGTTCTGGTGCTTGGAACAGGCTGTTATTGAAAATGTTTCTTTGAAGCAGCAAATTTTTGCTGATCTTGAGAGATATTGTCCTCCACATTGCATTCTTGCAAGTAACACTTCCACAATTGACTTGAACCTGATTGGTGAAAGGACAAAATCCCAGGATCGGATTGTTGGGGCACACTTTTTTAGGTAAATTTTTTGGTGCAGCAGTTGTTTGTTACTTCGACCTGCTTTTTCCCTTGGCACAAAAATGATTATGTTTCTCATGCAGTCCGGCTCATGTGATGCCATTATTGGAAATTGTTCGTACCAAACAGACATCTCCACAAGTAATTGTTGACTTGCTAGATGTTGGGAAGAAGATAAGGAAAACCCCAATTGTGGTAGGCAACTGCACAGGGTTTGCTGTGAACAGAATGTTCTTTCCTTACACACAATCTGCTATTTTCCTTGTTGAACGTGGAACAGATCTTTATCAGATTGATAGGGCAATTACCAAGTTTGGAATGCCTATGGGTCCATTCAGGTACCTCATTCATGGGAAGTCTAATGGTTATCTTCTTGCTTGTTCTTTTGAGATTTCGACATGTTATGTATAACTATCATAAATATTTTTCATACTGATGCAGATTGGCTGATCTGGTTGGTTTTGGTGTGGCAATTGCAACTGGCAAGCAGTTTATTGAAAATTTTCCTGAGAGAACATACAAGTCAATGCTTATACCAATTATGCAAGAGGATAAGAGAGCAGGTTTGGTCCTAATCATCCAACTCTTGGTTGCTGGCTGCTTATCCTTATACTAGCATCAATCTAACATCTATCTGAATCTTTAATTGATTTCAGGTGAAGCCACTCGTAAAGGGTTTTATTTGTATGACGACAAACGCAAAGCTAGGCCAGATCCTGAACTAAAGAAATACATCGAGAAGGCAAGGAGCTTCTCTGGTGTTAATGTGGATCCTAAGGTCTCTCTCTCCTTGAATCTCGATTCAATATTTTATAACCTTTACTTTCCACCTTTCAAAAACCAAAAAAAAAAAAAAAAAAAAAAACCTTGCATATCAATATTGGCACCAAAGAGAACAAGTAGTAGCATTGATGAACTCATGCCCCCATCTCTCTCTCTCCCCCTAATTTTTGTTGGATAACACTTGGTACAGTTTGTGAAGTTATCTGAAAAAGACATTGTGGAGATGATATTCTTCCCTGTGATAAATGAGGCCTGTAGAGTATTCGCTGAAGGTATTGCAGTCAAAGCAGCAGACCTTGACATTGCTGCTGTTATGGGCATGGGATTTCCACCATATAGGTTTGTTATCTCTATTTATTGAAGCAGGTCCCTTGCTAAGTCCTGTGTACTCTTATTTTAACTAGTTGTCCCGATTCTGGTCAGGGGAGGAATCATGTTTTGGGCTGATACTCTTGGTTCCAAATATGTATATTCACGGTTGGAGCAATGGTCCAAGACACATGGAGAATTTTACAAGCCTTGTGCTTTCCTGGCTGAAAGAGCAGCTAAGGGAGCCCCTCTGGTAATAATCTGAAACTGTATTCTTCCTTAAAAGATTAGTATTTTGCTTATTTATTATTGCAATCATGAATGGAAAAAATTGTTTTACGGCCCAACTGATGATTTAGTAGAATAGCTTGCTTTGGTGCACCATGTCACATTTATTTGAGAAATTTAATTACCTTATTTTAGCTTTTCCAAAATAGAAAAATTCAATGAGATCGAAACCACCTAAACTTAAAGAATTTGTTCAAATGGTTATGCTTTGCTGTATAAATGCAGTCGAGTAGTAGGATGTGTGCAGGCTATGTTTAGTTGGTAATGCAGAGTGGAAGTTACACCAGCACAAGATAGCCATGAATGCTAGTATAGTGGAAGATAGTTTACAATTAACTTAATCAGCCTTATAACTGTGTAAACTGATATTTTCTGATGTCAACACATCTCTGATGAAATGTCCAATGCAGAGTTTACCGGTAGACCAAGCAAAATCTCGGTTATAAGGGGAACGCGCCAGCTTCATTGTAGGAGGAACTAAAATAAAAGGGGGTTCCAAGATGTAAGAATCTAAATGCACAAGGCAAGAAAAAGGGGCAGAGTAACATATGAACACTGCAACAATAATATATAAACATCTGATTATTTATACAGAGTAGTTCTTGGTTGTTAAAGCTTTTATATGTAATCTTCTTAGCAGTCTTATCTGGATGGATTCTTTGGTGATTTCCATCCTGTCTTTCAATAAATTGTCTGCTCTTTGAAATTTAGTTTAAATTTTCTTTTTGAGTTCATTCCAGAAGCAGATTATTCACCTCGTAAGAATTAGTCTAATTGGTGAGCAACTATACTTTCTTACTGTTATCTAAATTTGATTCTTATATATATATATATATATATATGTTATCCAGTTCCTACTGTCAAAAAATAAAAATTTAATTAAACAATAAAGGATAAAAATATTTTTGGTTAAAGACAGTAGTTTTTTCGATTATCTACTTGATTACTAATAATTATTAAAAATTCTTAACAAATTTCTTTTATTCCCTCCCTTGGTTTACAATTATAATATTCAACTCATTTTTCGCATATATTTGGGAATGCATTAAAATATTCGGAGAATACGAGGGACCATACAATATATATATATATATATATATATATATATATATGGGGTTAGATACCCATACCATTCGCCATTATGACAAAATTTCATCAAAATTACTATTTTCAAGTCTTTTGTCTTTTACTCTTTTATATTTGTTGGACCCCACCCACATTTAAGTGGGACCCACCAGCATATATGTATGTACGTGTGTGGTGTTGAAATAAAGCTCATCTTCATCATTTTTCTACCCCATCAAATTAATCAAATATGGAGGAGCTGAGTTTCTATATTGGGCTCATAGGTTAAGTATCACTCACACTATACATATACATATACATATACATATAAATATATATATATCTTCTTTGATGAAATTAATTATATATAAACTTAGAAAAAGAAAATTAAAAATCATGGTTGGCCTACTTTTTTCTTTTTTTTCTCATTGCAGGTAATGTAATTTCAGTGCTGTTGTTTCTATCCCCCATGTAAGCCCTTATATTCTACACCCAGAATAAGATCATGAATCGTTATAGCATCATATAGTTATATATGTATACACACACACACACACACGCGCGCGCGTATATAATTATATGTTAATATTTTCAGGGGAACATTTTGGAGAATAATAAAAAGAAGATCTACGGAGGAGTTTGAGAGTCTTCCTTACATCTGCACGTTGCTGAACGTCTCGTTATGGACATATTATGGAATCATAACTCCTGGAGAATACCTTGTTGCCACTGTTAATGGTTTTGCTGTTCTCGTTGAGACTGTCTATGTTGCTCTATTCCTTCTTTATGCACCTACAAAGATCAAGGTTGATTATTACTTCACTGTACATACATGTTTATATATATATATATTATATATGCAAGGAAGTAAGAGAATTGAATTATCAATTATTGAAATTTTTATTTTAGGGAGAAATATTTCTAAAATTTTTTTGTAAACGAATGAAATTTGATATTTCGATCTCGATTGTCTTCGGGTGCAAGACTGCGATTCTTGTGGGGATATTGAACATGGTTTTTCCAGCAGCAGCAATTCTTGTTACTCGACTAGCTTTGCAGGGAGAAAC